TTTTTTTTTTTTTTTTAATCTTGCACTTTGAAACCGCGGGACTGTAGCAGGGTGCGCGCGTGTGGTTGGTGCCTTTTTTTTCTTCCCCTGCCTAAACTCCTCTGTCAGCCTGTAAACATTACCTGAGAATTCCCCAGCCGAAAAGGCGGCTGGGGCAAGAAACTTCTTGTTAGAACTTCCCACCTCCGGCTTTCCCTCCACCCCTCTTACTGTCCCAACCTTCTGAGACGCTGTTTCTCCTCCCGAAGAGGATTTATCTTTTTTTTTTTTCTTTTCTTTTTCTCACCCGGTGCTTTGCATTTGGGAAGAGGTGATTTCCAGAGTGGCCAGGTGGGACGCCTCTCTCCCCTTATTCGGTTTATTGTTTGGAGTGTTTTCTTTTTCAATTCCTGTTTTGTTCGGCCCGGGGAGTTTCGCCCCCCGCCCTGCCCGGCTCCGCGGCGCGGAGGATGGTGTGGAAATGGCTGGGCGCGTTGGTGGTGTTCCCTCTGCAGATGATCTATCTGGTGGCGAAAGCAGCCGTCGGACTGGTGTTGCCCGCCAAGCTGCGGGACCTGTCGCGGGAGAACGTCCTCATCACCGGCGGCGGCAGAGGCATCGGGCGCCAGCTCGCTCGCGAGTTCGCAGAACGAGGCGCCAGAAAGGTACCGGGGCCACTGCGAGTCCAGGGTGTGGGGGCTGAAGGTGAGGGCGTGCGCCCACCTGCTGCCGCCGCTGGAACCCGCGCCCAGGGTCTGAGGTCGCCGGCCACCCGACTTCTCTGCGCCGCCCGCGAATGCTGAGCTAGTCAGTTTCACCTTGTAAATTGCCCGGGTACCGGACTGTCTTTTTTTTGTGAGGTCAGGAGAAGATCCACTCCTTGGGGATCCGTGGCTGGCTGGCGGGCTGTTCACCCCCACCCCGAAACTTAGGAGACCCACCCATTTCCCACATTGCTCCTTCCCAGAGGAAGGTGTTGTGTTCCCCCTCTCGCCTTCCCCGCTTTGCCACCACCCTGGTGAGTGCAGGGTGTGTGCGCTCCTGGGTAGAGCTGGGAGCCGCCTGCTCGCTGGCGCTTCGTATTTTCCTTGGCAACCCGCTTGCCAGCCCCAACCTGGGCTGCTGCAGCTCTGGAGGCTCGAAGGCAGGGGGTAGATACTTGGTTTGGGTTTGAAAAGGCGGGAGCGGTCTTGGATGGTCTAGCCTGGCCTGACAGGCACTCGGAGGCCCAGGTGTCTGGAAATCTGGAGAGAGGGGGCAGGGGTAACCAGCAGTTGATAAAGAGCCCTTGTTCTCACCTTCAACCCTGCCCTTCCCCCCCCAAATCCAGCCCCAGAGGGGATCCCTCCAAGTTCTGCTTTTAACTTTTTGGTAGTCCCAGCAGCACCTCTTCCTCCAGTTTTCCCAGACTGGTGCCCGAGAGTGGGGAGGGTGAGCCGGCTGTCACCCAACTCTGACCCAAGCCAGGCTGACTCACCCAGCGACTAGAGCAATGGAGAGAGAGATGTGAGGCGGGCTGGCCGGGGTGTCTCCAGCCAACCCTGTGAAGAGGAAGAGCAAAAACAGGGAATTCGATTGAAACTTAAACTGTTGAGAGCAAGGGGGGGCAAGGGCCAGCAAAGCCAGCTGATCTGACAGGGCGCCACACACCTAGGAGATTAAGTAAATATGTACTGTAGAAAACCAAACCTGCATGTAATTCCAGGTTGCTTTTGTTTTGTTAAATACTGCCCTGAGATTTACAATTCCTCCGGGGTGGCGCAGACTGGGACTGAACTTTGGAGCCTCAGCTATCAACCAAAGCTGATCGCCCATTAACTCTTCCTGCACCGGCCGGCAGGGGCCTGTCCTGGCCGAGCTCGCTGGGGTCAGCTGTCCGGGTCTCCTGCTTCTCCTTGGGTGGTTTGGACAGCTGCTTGACCTTGCAGTTGGAAGGGGGAGTTCGGAAGTGTTTTTAACCCTTGGACACATGGAAAAGGGAGAAGTAACAGTTGTTCTCAGCAGTTTCATTTCCTTGGGGTGATGCCCCCATTGAAGGGCTCCCAAAGCCCCGTGTGGAAGGGAACCAGGATGGCGGGTGAGGGTTTCCTTGCAGGGGGATGTGGGGTTTGGGACAATTGCATGGGGTTTGGGACAATCGCGTGTGATTGTCATTCCTTAGCTGTCTGCATCCCACAGAAACTTTCTGCTGACTCTTCCAGCTGGCCCAAGTCCTGGGTCTCTTACTGCTCTTGTAACTGGCTGCAGTAGGCATATGAAGAACGCCTTTAGTCAATCAGGAAAAACTTGACTGACCATAAACAAGCCTAAATGGAAAGAAGTGTATGGCTTTGGGGGAGGAGGGTAGAAGAGTACAGAGTGGGCCCTGCAAGTTCACGCACTGGGAGCCACGCCCCACTTCACTTGGAATGGACCAGCTCTTCCAGGGAATAAACCCAAGCCAATTAGAAATATGTCTTAAATTGATTATCAGGTCACCAGAAACAGCATCCATGGGGCCTATGAAACTTCCGATGCCATTCTCCCTAGGTTCAGTCATCGGACCAGTCAGGATGCCCAGAGCCCTCCCTGGAACTTATAATCATCTGACCAATTACTAGAGCTACTTTTTAATGAGCTGTCTGCTTGCTTTCATGGTGGGGAATTTGGAATCCAGGCTTTTTGCCTGAGTCCATCTGGGGCCAGTGAGAGGGCCTTGGGACAACCTCCGGACCTAGGAGTGTTTGGAGGTCCAATGGGCTTGGGGACGAAGGGCCAAGTGTGGTGGAGTGGGGAATTTACAAGAGACAGCTGAGTGGGTTGTGTGCATGGTGGACTTGGGGTGGTCCTGAAGCAGCTGGAGAGCTGGAGAGGCCCCGGCCGCCAAGCAGCCTGCAGTGATGTGAGACAGGCAACAGAGTTGAACCATGTAGGACACTCCGCCCTTTGGTCGAAGTAGAAGCTGCATCTGAGCCCTTCCAGCCTGGACTGGGGTGGTATTGGACCTGGAGGGGAAAGCCCCCCCAAAAGAGAAAGAAAGGAGGGAGACCTGAGTCTCTGCAAACAGCTGGTACGTCCAGGCAAGGTCTGTTTACTTCGGGGGAGGGAGCAGTGACAATCCAGCTTTGCCTAATGACCTTGAGTCAAACAGGATTTGGCAATATTTGTGGGCAGTAGTGTGCCTTAGGCTGCAAAGGTGACCCAAGTGAGGGTTTTTCTTAAAGGGACACAAAGGCTCCAGGAATTAGAAAGTTCCTCACCTGGACACAGCTCTCCTCCCCCACCATGTACTGAGGTTGCCAAGGCAGGGCCAGTCATGCTTAGGGTCTCCAAGGGGAATGCTTTTGCTGGGCTATTGCCTGCTCCACTCCTTTTTTTAGTTTCTGTGTCCTCCTGGAATTCTTCCCCGAAAGCATTCATAAAGCTCGGGCCCATCCCTCTTTCCTCTAGGCTCTGGGCTAGCTAGCCAGCTGGCCCAGCCTCCAGTCTTTGACCTTGACGTGGTTTTTGCAGGCGCCCTCGGGAGGAGGAGATGTGGACTGTTTGTTTGTGTGTATTTGCAGTGGCTGTTCCAGACTTTGGTCCAGTATGAGGAAGTGGCGGGACAGGAGCCCTGGGCCATGATTGCAGGCAGGGGCCACATTCCACGGCCGACCCAATCCCTCCACCAAGGAGGGGTAGAGCCAGGACTCGGGGACCCGTTTCATGGAGGTAGTATGAGAACTGGATCAGAATTATCAGAATTACATCTGCCTTGCTATTGTTGAATTGACAGTACATGGGTGTATGGCCCTATTCCTAAAGCAGCCAGCCAGGAACTAACCCTTTGTGTAAATGGACGACTCCGACTGTCCATCACGTCCATTCGGCAAATCCCATATCCTTTCCATCCCTGGCACGGGCAGGCCCAGGCACAACTTACCCCCATGACAACTGTCTTTGAGGACCTAGTTCAGCAAACTTGTCAGGTGTCTGATGCAGCTCTGGACCCAGAGAGGAGAGGTGGGTACAACAAAAATGGATAAAGACACAGAGATGTGGCCAGGGTCACAGTCAAGGCACAAATTCAGTGTGTATGAGCTTCCTGTGGCTGCTGTAACAAATTATCGGTAACTTGGTGGCTTACAACAATAGAAATTTATTATCTCACCAGAAGTCTGAAATCTAGGGGTTGGCAGGGCCTCGCTCCCTCCTGAGATTCTAGGGGAGACCCCTTCCTTGCCTCTTCCAGTTCTTGGTGGCCCCTGGTTGGTGTTCCTTGGCTTGGGGCAGCATCACTCCAGTCTCTGCCTCCATTTTCACAAGGCCTTCTTCTCCATCACTCCGTGTGTCTCTGTGTCCTCTCATTTTCTTACAAAGACACCAGTCATTAGATTAAGGGCACACACTAAATTCAATATGATCTCATCTGAGATCCTTAACCAATTACACCTCCAAAGGCCCTATTTCCAAATAAGGTCCCAAGGCGAGTTTCCAGGTAGACATGAATTTCGGGGGGACACAGAGGAAGCTCAGTGGAGCTGTGAATCTAGCTCATAGAAGGCTTCATGAAGGAGGTGGCATCTGAGTGAGCCTTGAAGACGGTCCAGAGTTTCAACCAGAAGGGATGTGAGAAGGGCGATCCAGGTGCAAGAAACCACCTGATCAAAGGCTTGTGTACCTGGCTGAAATTGGGGGAGGGAGGTGGAAGGCAAATAAACAAAATATTGTAAGGCGGGATAGGGAGCTAGGGAGGTAAGCAAGGAGTTTGTATCTCAGACTCTGAGTTAGGCCAGTGCTGATGTGAATAGGAAACAGAGAGGAGGGGGTTCAGGTAGGTAACGTTGTGGATCCCAGAGTAAGATATCGGTATTAAACAACTGATGCGTGATGGAGGTCCCAAAGGCAGGGGTGGCTTGGGGGACAACAGTGGCCCATCTCCCCCATCCTCATCCTGAATACAGCCTTGGTTGGGAACTTCCAGGAAAAGTACTAGGCTCCTATTTGACCTGGCCTGGGAGTAGGAATGCAGGCTGCCTGTCCTACCTGTGGCATCGAGTAAAGTCTTTCTGCTTGTAGCATCTGGCCCTTGGGTTTCAGACAATGAGCTTTATCATCTGGGCTGCCTCTTGAGTAGACAAATACCTCCCTGTTATGGCCCCACCTTCTTCCCCTGGGAACCAAAGGCTGCCACCTCTGGGGCCATTGCCCCTGGTAAGCCTGGTTCACCTGAGCTAGGAGACCAGATACTGGGTTCTAGACTGGGCTCTGCTGAGACCCTGGGAAAGCCGCTACCTGCTCCAGGCTGCAAGCGAAGCACAACACTTTATGAAAAGAGGGGATGCAATGATCGTTAAGATGCTGGCCTGCTCTAAAAACCCCATATTGTAGATCAGCACCCCAAGAAAGCTCCCTGAGTTGCAAGGAAGAGACTTCCGCAAAAAAACAAAAAAAAAACCCATTTGTCCTAATTGCTGCTGATCTCAGCCTTTCTTACTCATCATCAGATTCCACTTAATGAAAAAGAAGCAACTCAGTTGGGAAATGTGGCCTGGGTGGGTAAGTGTCCTACCCCGCTCCCCCACCCCCACCCCAGGTAACCATCTGCCACGGATTTATTTCAACTCTTGCAGATGTTAATGTTTTCAACCTGTAGCTTTCAGGAGGGGGGGTGAGGGGAGGGGTGGGGTGGGGAAGTTGCCCAACTAGCATGTCAAGTAGAACTTCCTGTTTTGTTTTGTTTTTAATCCTAAAATCACCAAATTGTCTATTCGGCTTCAGAAAATGCTCCCTCGATCCAGTAACACAGAACCTGAGTCAACAAGTCCCTCCTCAGTCTAACATAGCACGTCTGCTAATTCTTGCTCAGACTCCAGACGCTCTGGAGCCCAGGGCACTTGTTGACCCCTGCACGGAGCCCTTCTGATCGCCTTACGCTTCCCTCCCTGGTCCATTTCCATCTTGTTATTGGTTGAGGTGTCACGTGAGAAAAATTATCTCAGCCATATTCATGAGAAGGTTGTCCATTTCTCTCTGGGAAAGAGACCTGACTGTGCGGTCACCGACACGTGTTCCTGAAGGCCTGGTCCCTACCGGCCACCGTGAAAGTCCACTGTAGTTCTGGGCATCGGTGCAAGGATCCCAGACCCAACACACTCTCCTTTGTCTTGGGCAAAAGCAATGTTTGAAGATGTTCTCCCGTTGCCTTCAGAAGACACAATCTAAAAACATACCAAATATATAAGATATTTTGAAAGGAAATGTTTAGAACAGTATTCAAATGAACCATGCAGGTCATGAAACAGTTAAAGCCAATGAACCGGAGACAAGTGAATCTCTTTAGATGTGGCCTTCTCCAGGGTGTGCTCGACGAGTGAAGGCCCTTAAAGTGAGTGCGGTTTTAAAGTTCTGAAAATGAGGAAAGGTCCAGATTCTCAAAAAGAGGGAGTGCCAACTACCAGAACAGGTTAGCCGCTGAACGGTTGGCGCGACTCATTCATTCATTCGACAAACCGGTGCTGTCTCTTCTGTGTGCTGGGCACCATGCTAGGTACTGACGATACAGCAGTGAGCAAAGCAGACAAACATCCCCACTGTGTAAAGCCAGCAGTTCAGCGGGACAGGCAGATGGATAGTAAACAAGATACGTAAATAGATGGTACGCTAGATCACAGTGAGTGTGAAGGAGAAAACAAATGAGGTAAAGCAGACAGAAGGGGCCACGGCGGGAAAGGAGGGAGCAGCGTTCCAGACAGAGGGAAGATGAAGGGCTCTGAGGTGAGAATGTGCCTGGGGTGTTTGGGGAGCAGCGAGGAGGCCAGTG